GCAAACTTTTTTTTAGGTCAATTGATAGGTATTGATGAGAACAATACATTTCAGTTAAAACTTTCTATCTAGCATCAAAACTGTAGGAGTTACAGTTTTGGGCGGTTTGTGGGCGTTAGAGTGGGCGTGGCATTCTAGGTATAGGTATAAAGAATTAGATACATTTTTTATAAGGAACCAATAGATTTGCCATCAGCACTACAACTTTGCTTAAAGTTAGAAATCCATGAATTCCGTGCTAATCATGCACTATAAAGGGCAGCAATCTATTCAACAAAACAAATGAAATATGCTATATTTCCACTTTATTGTGAAAATATGGCCATTTGTTTTTTGAAATACGCAAAAAATACGATGAATTTGAAGATTTTTTTGTTTTGGTCCTGTTTGACAATTTGGCGGATTTGCCCATATGTTATCTTCTATTTTTTATTTTAACTTACAATTTTTATTTTAAGTTTTTATTTTAAAACTTAAAATTATAACTGATTGGCTTAAAATGTATTTCATTTTGTTGGATGCGTTCACTTATTCACTATCTTACGTAACTTATCTTGATGTGGCTACTCCTCCTGGTAGTCCGGATGTCTTCCTGCTTATTTCCTACTGTAGATCCTGCGATTCACACACAATAGAGGTTGTCCTACGGGCGTACTAGACAGTACTGGTAGTCCACCGATGGATAAGTAAAATTTAATTCACCGGCCGGTTGCCGTCCTCAGCTCCTTAAAGATGAGCCAGCGGGTTATTTATTTGCACGGATCGAACTTAATCAGATTTCCTCACTTGGAGTTCAACCAATATATTTTTGCACTTAATCGGATGTCCTCGAGCTGGTCCCTGTTCGGGCGCCAGTTAACTTCCAAGATATTAAAAAACCGAAGTGTATGTTTAACGTTGTATTTTATTTGAGTTTCAAATCGGGACTGATTTTGCTATACTTAACAATACACTGATTTAAGCTGTCGGTTGTGGCAGCGCCGTTGCTGGTGGCACTAGCATTTATGGATTTGCGTTGTGGTACCTGGATGGAGATATGCGAGCAGCAAAGCGAGATTGAAGTGCGCCACCTACCCGCGATCTCAATATATGGTTATGTGGGCGGTAGAAAGATATAAGCGTTATAGGCGTTAGAGTGAGCGTGGCAACCTTTTTTTGGTTCAATCGATAGGTATTGACGAGAGTAATACATTTAAGTTAAAGTTATGTTTCTAGCATGAAAATTGTGGGCGCCACAGGTTTGGGAGGTTTGTGGGGGTAAGAGTGGCCGTGGCATATACGCGTAACAAACTTGCGCTGCGTACAAGGCTACCGAATCTAAGTCTGAAATCCCAAATCTCTATCTTTGATTGTTTCCGAAATATCAGCGTTCAAACTAACGATTTTTTAAAGTTTTTTTTCGGCTTGTGGGCGTTGAAGTGGGCGTGGAAAACTATTTTTTAGGTCAATCGAGGTGTTCATGAGAAAAATACATTTAAGTTAAAATTTGTATTCTAGCATTAAAACTGTAGAAGCCACAGTTCTGGGCGCCTTGTCGGCGTTAGAGTGGACGTGGCACACTGAAGAAACAAACGGACAAACAGACGGACATGGCTAGATCAACTCGACTAGTTATCCTGAACAAGAGTATACAGTGGCGTGCAAGTCTGAGTACATGTTTGCAACTATTGACTTTGGGCCCGCACAAAATAGAGTATTAGTAAAGTAAATAAAGCCAATTTTTTTGTGTTTATTCTTTAAATATTTATTAACAAATTCTTATACAAAATATAACAAAATAAACTAATTGGTCTCATTAAGAAATAAAAGCCAAATAAACTCACATATACTGTTATGCTCAATTTGAACTTTTCAACAAAAGATGCACAGCTGATTCAATTGAAAGCTTAATTACAGAATTTTACCGTTTGTTTTTGAGAAGCTTCTGTTTTGAAGTGCTTTATGAATTATTATACCCGTTACTCGTAGAGTAAAAGGGTATACTAGATTCGTCGGAAAGTATGTAACAGGTAGAAGGAAGCGATTCCGACCCCATAAAGTATATATATTCTTGATCATGATCACTAGCCGAGTCGATCTAGCCATGTCCGTCTGTCTGTCCGGATGAACGCTGAGATCTCGGAAACTATGAGAGCTAGGCTATTGAGATTTGGCGTACAGATTCCTCAGCTTCTTACGCAGCGCAAGTTTGTTTCAGTAGACTGCCACGCCCACTCTAACGCCCACAAACCGCCCAAAAACTGTAACTCCTACAGTTTTGATGCTAGAATACAAATTTTAACTGAAATGTATTGTTCTCATCAAAACCTATCGATTGACCTAAAAAGTTTGCCACGCCCACTCTAACGCCCACAAACCGCCCAAACCAGTGACGCCCACAATTTGCCTGCTAGATATAAAAATTTTAACTGAAATGTATTGGTGTCGTCAATACCTATCGATTGATCCAAAAATAAATTTGCCACGCCCACTCTAACGCCCATAACACTTAAATCTGTCTACCGCCGGTAGGTGGCGCATTTTAATCTCGCTTTGCTGCTTGCATATCTCCATTTCCCTTTGAGTAACGGGTATCTGATAGTCGAGGTACTCGACTATAGCGTTCTTCCTTGTTTTAACTAAAAACGTACGAAATCTCACGTGTATTTGCTCTTTTGTATTTAAAACAAAAAAATGAAGAAATTGTCAAGAGACGTTGAAGATTCAGAAGTAAACCTAACTGAAAATGGATGTTCGACACGAATAATATCTAAAAAGTTAAAAATCAGGCAATCAGCAGTCATTCGTGGGCAAAAAAGGAGCAACGCGGTACAAAGAAGTGGTCCACGTCGAATTTTGCCTGATGCAGATGCAAGGCTTATGATGCAAAAAATTAAAAATGAGAAAAATTGTAAGTTCAAGGGTGCATCCGCAGCCATAGGGAAGCTCGTCAGCCAGTGGACAGCTCAGGAATCTGCATGCCAAATCTCAATAGCCCAGTTCTTGTAGTTTCCGAGATCTCAGCGTTCATCCGGACAGACAGACAGACGGACAGACGGACATGGCTAGATCAACTCGGCTAGTGATCCTGATCATGAATATATATACTTTATGTGGTCGGAAATGCTTCCTTCTACCTGTTACATACTTACCGACAAATCTAGGTATACTGGACTTTTTCTACGAGTAACGGGTATATAAAGATGTGACTAGAGATCAAAATAAGTTAGATTTTTGGAAATTAAGGTCTTTAGAAAGAGGAGTGCTGATATGATTGCATTGTTTACATTGGTTACCCTATAACTTATTATATCGTTGGACATAGAACCGTCTGTGTAGGGTAATTTGTGTTTGGGGAGGGTGTTTTTCAATGATTGAACAAGTTGTTAATATATTGTGGGAGAAGGGCTTGTTTCCTATGGCAGCTAAACTCGAAATTCAGAACTAATTAAAAAATGGTATTTCCAAGAGTAGAAGTTTACACGTTAAAGAACACCAAAGAAATAATTTTTATACCCCTTACTCGTAGAGTAAAAGGGTATACTAGATTCCTCGGAAAGTATGTAACAGGCAGAAGGAAGTGTTTCCGACCCCATAAAGTATATATATTCTTGATCAGGATCACTAGCCGAGTCGATCTAGTCATGTCCGTCTGTCCGTTTGAACGCTGAGATCTCGGAAACTATGAGAGTTACAATACTGGGATAAGGCACGCAGATTCCTGAGATTCTTGCGCAGCGCAAGTTTGTTTCAGTAGAGTGCCGCGCCCACTCTAACGCCCACAAACCACCCAAAACTGAAATGTATTGGTCTCGACAATACCTATCGGTTGGTCCAAAAAAAAATTCGCCACGCCCACTCTAACGCCCATAACGCTTAAATCTGTATACCGCCGGTAGGTGGCGCATTTTAATCTCGCTTTGCTGCTTGCATATCTCCATTTAGCTGAGTAACGGGTATCTGATAGTCGAGGTACTTGACTATAGCGTTCTTCCTTGTTTCTAATGTTTTATTCCGATTATTCATATGAGAGCTATAAGATATAGTTGTCTGATCCGGCTGGTTCCGACTTATATACTACCAGCAAGAGAAATAATACTTTTGGGAAAGTTTCAGCCCGATACCTTTAAAACTGAGAGACTAGTTTGCGTAGAAACGGACGGACAGACGAACAGACGGACAGAAGGACATGGCTAGATCGACTTGTCTATTAATGCTGATCAAGAATATATATACTTTATGGGGTCGGAAACGTCTCCTCCACTGCGTTGCAAACTTCTGACTTCTATAACAAGAAAGGAAGTTAGCTTCAGCAAGCCAAAGTTTGTATATCCTTGCAATTATAATTATTACATTTAATTCGAAATTCTTGAAAATGCACATAATAATATTCCCAATAGTATAAGATAATATGTCATAAAACACCAAAGCTATAATTTGCTTCATATTATTTTCCTACCAATTTTCCGATTGTTCCTATGGCAACTAATTGATATAGTCGACCGATTTTGATAAAATTAAATTCAAAATTCAGAACTAATTAAAAAATTTTATTTCCAAGCGTAGGAAATTATATGTTAAAAACACCAAGTATATAATATAATATAATGTAATATAAGGGCATGGCTAGATCGACTCGTCTAGTCATGCTGATCAAGAATATATATACTTTATGGGGTCGGAAACGTCTCCTTCACTGCGTTGCAAACTTCTGACTGAAATCATTATATCCTCAGCAAGGGTATAAAAACTATTTCTTTCAAATGTCTTCTCTTTATTAAAGATTGGGTGATCAAATTTTAACACAACCTAGATTATTATAAAAGAAGATTTCTGCGTCGTTTATTTTTTTCTTCTTATAACTGTTGCCGAGTCATGACCAATTGTATAAGGGGAATCTTTCTTTTAAAAACGCAGAGGGTCCAAACGGGACACTGTCTTGGAAATTTGTATGAGAATGGTGTTTTAACTAAATTTTTCCAAGCTTATACTCCAGTTTTAAAACTCTTTTTATTCAACAGTTCACGAAGAGGGCGCTCTGATGCACGTAACCGACACCTCTGCGCTAGGCCGCAGTGAGTGTGGTGCCGATTCCAGCAGCGTGTGCAGTGCCACCAAATTTGATGCCTGCCAGTTCGACGTGGGCAGTGCTCTGGCCTGCGGGAGCGGTTCAAACATCCGCCTTAAAGGAATCTTCGCCGGCGAGAATTCCTGCGGGGACGGCCAGACAGTCCGCTTTGCCAAGCCGGACATAAAGTGGATCAACAAGGCCTTCGCCGACAAGAATAAGCCGCTCCTTCTGAAGCGATTTTAAGAAATATATGTATGAAGATGAGGAGGCAGTTCAATAGCCGGAGTAAATACGACAGAACCTTATTTCTTCCTTTACGTTTTATTCAAATACATATGTGCATGTATGTGCATTGGGCGAACTTTTTTTTTGCAATTTTTAAGGCCATACTCTCACCCTATTATTTATTACTTTTTGGTGCCCCTAATGCATAACTTAAAGAAAACAATCAGTTTAAGACGGTGTGCAAAGGTTCTTAACATTCTTAAGCCAATATGTCTATATGCTAAAGATTTCATTTTTTACATCGTCAGTTTCAAGCTCTGAAGTCGTTCGTAAAATTGGAACCCCTGGAAACCAAATAATACTTAAATATAATAGTGAATACAGTGATAACCTAAAATAACATTTAAAATCTTATAAATTGTATTTGTGAATTTCTTTATGCTAACATTGCCCTTAATCTTTAAAATTAAAAAATGCGTTCGGTATTTCAATGTGAATCCCACAAAATTCTTTACAGGCATAGCTTTAAAAAAGTAGCCAAAATAAAATTTTTATTGCTGGGGGACCAAACACGGTCATTTTCGTCCAGAGACAAGTTTTACGAACTATGTGAGTCATTTTTACTGATAGTTTGAGTCCATTATTATGAAAAATTATTGTTTTCGCATAATTTAATTTGTACATACAACTACCATTTTAGATAGTGAGCTCATTTGACCTCAAAAAAGTCCACCTTAATGTACATACATACATATGTATGTAGAACGAATTCAGATTTGTAGTTAATACGCAATGCGAGATGTAAAATATTTAATTACTTATAAAATATATATATACATTCCATAAATAATTTTGATTCATTCAATTTAAATTAAACCAACCACTTTTATGTATTGAACTATTAATTAGTTTTAAGATGCTCACTTTACTGGCATATATATGTACTTGGGTAATATGGTAACCCTACACTTGTCAACCGCACCTATAACTCTACTGCAACAACTACAGTGCTGAACTAAACTGTTGGCACACTAAGCATCCTAAAACTTCAACTGCGACTTTCTTCCTCTAATAAATGTATTATAAAAACAAGAAAGAACGAGTACCTCGACTATCAGATACCCGTTACTCAGCTAAAGGGACTAAAGGGAAATGGAGATCTGCAAGCAACAAAGCGAGATTGAAATGCGCCACCTACCGGCGGTAGACAGATTTAAGCGTTATGGGCGTTAGAGTGGGCGTGGCAATTTTTTTTCATTTCAGTTAAAATTTGTATCTAGCACGAAAATTGTGGGCGCCACAGGCTTGGGCTGCTTGTGGGCGTTAGAGTGGACGTGGCATATTCGCGTAACAAACTTGAGCTGCGTACAAGGCTACGGAATCTAAATCTGAGATCCCAATTCTCTATCTTTGATAGTTTCCGAGATATCAACGATAGTCTCTGATTAGCATTCGTTGTAGTCAGACGTGTTTTCTTTTCGCTATGAATTCTTATTCGTGCTCCGAGTGCAATGCTGAAGTTACAGCAGCGCAGCTTCGCGGTTTTGATGGGGTTCGTTGCTCATCGCTTTGTCGTCGTACTTTTCACACTGCATGTGTTGATCTCCCGGAGGATGCTATTAGATTATTAACTATTATGCCGAATCTACTCTGGCAGTGTGATCGCTCTGTTGTGAGTAATGATTCATACTCCAAAATCGATAAAGTAATGGAAGAACTTCATGACCTGAAGAGTCTATACATGGATTTAAATTCAAAGTTTCTGAAGGCTTTTCCCAATTCTACCACTGACAATAGCAATGTCAGTCAGCGTAAAAAAGTGGTGAAACCATTGGCTCCACCTTCTTCAATTGGTCGTCAAGCCAACCTTGCAGACCTGATACCCCCCGCACCAGTTTCTACTGCCGCCAGGAACCATGCAAAGAATAACAGGAACAAGAGGCAAATAGTTGGTCAAGCTCCTAATTGTGAACTTCTCGAAGTTGTGCCGAGCAATAAATTCCTTCATATTGGTAGATTCAGAGCGCACGTAAAATCTGATTCTGTGTGTGAATATGTTACAAATAAGCTAGGTGTGGATACCGCCACCATAATTTGCAAGCCCTTAGTCAAAACTGGTGTAGATGTTGCTACACTGGAATTCGTCAATTTTAAATTAGGAATACCTGAGCAGCACTTTCAGACTGTGTTTAGTGATGCGTTCTGGCCCAATCCAATCAAGATCAGTCCACAGGGATAGGCCGATTGTTGATGGGAACGTTCTGGATTTGCACAATCATCATACATCGGAATCAAAAAACCCTCAATAATCGGCGCCTATGGTGTCGATTTGACTACGGCAAATTTTTATGATCCTCTTCCTCATCTTCATGCTACTTATTCGCAATGTCAACGTCCGCTGGTTTCGATATCGCTAACTGCTACCATTACTCTCTCATACGCCGCTCCCAGTGCACTGTTAAGTATTGGGCGCCCGTCACTCACAAATCAAAAACATTATCTGCTGGATTTTTCCTTTCTTGTTCCGTCTAACGTTCATCAAACGCTCACTGGAGAGGCGTTGTCACCAGATTCCGTTAAGATTCCCGCTCTAAGCGCTCTCTTCGGAGATGTGCACTCATCACAATCAAAGTAACATCGGCATCAGCTGGATTTGTCGTTGCCTATTTCGCGCGACGTTTGTCAAACGCTCTCTGGAGAGCTGCTCTCATCATATTTCATCAAGATTCCCGCTCTAAGCGCGCTCTTCGGAGTTGTGCGCTCATCACCGTCAAACAAACAACAACGTCAGCTGGAGTTTTCGTTGTCTGTTTTTCGCGACATTCGTCAGACGTTGATCGATGAGGCGCTCTCATCATATTCAATCACTCATCTCCCTCTAAGCGCGCTCTCTGGGGATGTGCATGCATCACTATCAAAGCAACAACAACATCAGCTTGAGCTGTCGTTTTCTGTTTCGGACGACGATCGTCAAACGCTCTTTGGAGAGCCGACCTCATCATACTTCATCAAGATTCCTGCTCTAAGCGCGCTCGTCGGAGTTGTGCGCTTATCACAATTGAACCAACAACAACGTCAGCTGGAGTTGTCGTTGTCTGAATTGTGTTACGTTCGTCTAATGCTCACAAAAACTCAACGGCTGGAGCTTTCAAATTTTGCTCTGAGTGATACTCGTGATCACAGTATCATTTCCTTATTACCGCGCTCCTCTCTGACGCTACGAAATTGCTTGAATTTCTCATCGACTGCTTTGTGTGGCTCTTCCCGATGGCAGCATCAACAACAACTTTGTCCATCTCTCCCCAACTTGGATAGATATGCTCTGTTAACGGCGACATTGCCATCGCTGTTAAGTACTAGTTGCTCTTTACTAAAAGTATCTAGCAAACTTAGGGAATGCATCGATCCTAGTCTGCATGAAAAAATTTGTATTAAAAACACTACATTACTGAAGGCGATCTGCGGGCCTACAACATTGGGAACGCATGAACAAATACTTCCTAGGGCATTGGACTATGATGCCTTAAATGCGAATCCGGAAATTGTTGATCGTGCTATTGTGAGTACGGCCCCACTAAAAATTTATTTTCAAAACATCTCCGGAATGCGGACAAAGGCGGAGCAAGTATACCTTGCCACATCCCAATGCGAGTTTGATGTTATAGTTTTAGTTGAAACATGGCTCAACATAAACTTTTACTCAAATGAATTCTTCGACTCCAATTTCTACCATGTGTTCCGCAAAGACAGAGATAGCCCGAAAACCCACTGTGCTAGAGGGGGTGGTGTAATTGTTGCTGTTCGCTGCAATTTGCGCTGCTTGTCAATTGGACTTCTCATTGAAGATACCCTTCTTGATCAAGTTGCGGTGTCGATAATTGGAGAATCGGAATCGCTGCAAATTGTGGTGTCATACATACCACCGAATGGTTCATATAAACTTTACAAGGCTCATCTGGAAAACATTACCATCAACATATCTGTGTGATTGGAGACTTTAATCTATCATCCCTCGTTTGGTCTCAGGATCCGGAGCATCATTCTTCACTGCCAAGCAACATACATCAACCACACGAGATTCTTTTCATCGATGATATTTTCAGTATGGGCTTAATACAAGTCAATAATATATTCAACAACTTACATAAAATTTTAGACTTAGTATTCCTTAGCGCTGATATTAACTTTTCTTTAGTCCAATGTAGTTCACCTATAAGCAATTGTGATATCCATCATAGACCATTGCTACTAGGTATAAACTTTTACAGTTTTGCGCCTTTAGCTGAATATACACCTAGATTTATTTTCAATGAAACCAGCCTTTGTGCCATCAGAAATGAGATCTCTGCCATTAACTGGGAGTCAGTTTTATCACATGTCAGTTTGGAGTAGTGTTATGACACATTTTTAGTTGTTATTTTAAATATCATTAAGAACAATGCTCGAGAAAGGGTCCACAATTCGTTAAAGTTGCCATGGTATACGAAAGGTTTGAAAAAGCTTAAAAATCTTCGAAATAAATTCTATAAAAGGGTTTTAGTTACACAGGATCCTGGTGATTGGAATAGACACTTGCAGCACAAACGAGAATTTGAATTTCTAAATAAATTTCTTTACAATCAGTATATAGCGAGTGTTGAGAACGGCCTAAAAAGTAATCCCAACTCTTTTTGGCGATTCATCAATTCAAAGAAAAGTGCTTCTTCAGTTCCATCTGCTATGTTCCTAGGGAATTTATCTTCCAATTCAAATACAGAAATTGCAATTCTCTTTGCCTCTTATTTTAAAGCTAATTTTGAGCCAACAGCAGCCTGGAATGATTCTCAAACCTTAAATGCAATCACTCCTCTATTGAATTTAGGTAGTTTAACCGTGCTAGAAGAGAATATTCATAGGGCTGTGGAAGACGTGGATGAATTGTACACTCCGGACTGTGATGGGATTCCGGCCTACTTTCTGAAACATTGTATGGAGGTGCTATGCGTTCCACTAAAAATTCTGTTTGATAAATCACTTTCTAGTGAACACTTTGCGGATAGATGGAAGGTCGCATCCGTGACTCCAATTTTAAAATCAGGGCCGAAGAATAACATTGCCAGTTACCTATAGCAAAGATCAGTAATATCGCTAAACTCTTCGAACGCATTGTTGCCCATAAATTATCATTTCTTGGAAAAACATATACAAGCACTTCTCAGCATGGTTTTGTTGCAGGTCGGTCAACTACGACTAATCTTGCCGTTTTCAGCAACTATTGCATTCATGCCTTTAATATGCGATATCAGGTTGATGATATTTACACCGATTTTGCGAAAGCCTTTGACAAAGTTAGCCACAGTGCCCTACTGGCAAAACTGGCCCGCTTGGGTATACATTCGGCACTACTAAATTGGATAAAATCATATTTACACCATCGACTTTATAGAGTTAATATTAATGGAAAATTCTCGGATTCCTATTTGGCAACCTCTGGCCTCCCTCAGGGGAGTGCTATGGGACCTCTGCTTTTCATCATTTTCATTAATGATGTGAGGTTCTGTCTATCTTCAGAGTGTCTCCTGTATGCAGATGATTTAAAAATTTTTAAGTCTATTAAATTAGCGACAGACTCACAATTGGTTCAACATGACTTAGTTTCCTTGAGCTCTTGGTGTAGCCGAAAATCGCTTCCTCTTAACATAAGCAACTGCTTCTATGTCACTTACAGTAAATCCGCATACAATATCGTCACATCTTATAATATCAATGGTCAACCTCTACAACTGCGGCAGGAATCCTTGGATCTAGGAGTGTTGTTTGACTCAAAATTTAATTTTGCAGCACACTTCGATTACATCATGCCCAGGGCCT